AAACCGTAAGACTTGGAGACAAAAAAATTTTTTCATTCCCGTAACTAATTGTGCCGAACATTTATGGAAAGTTTCGTCAAGATCGGATGCACGGTGTCCGAGATAATTTCTGAGGGGGAGGGGGCCCTTAAGTGAATTGAGACTATTGCTTATTTTTCCTAAATATCTATTCCATGATTTTGAAGTAAAAATCTTTATTCTTAAAAATTGAGATCTTTTCCATGTTTTTTATGTAATTATGTCATTCGAGATCTAATCCGTGATATTTCCGAGGTCAAATTATTGTCCGTGAATTACGTTGAAATACAGTGTTGGAAAGCACGAACTCCGAAAGTGGAGACCAAGGACTAAAAAACATCAGGTACTCCGACGAGATCTTTGCACCGTACAACATAATCAAACGAGCTGATTCCGAATAGGTAAAAATTGAAGCATTGAAAATTTCTCGCGAATCTGATATTACTAGATAAAATGTCCATGTTTTCATCGTAATAAAACTGTCACTTTTAGGTATTACAATGTTTCTAGTTTAAATTAGCCAAATGTTAAAATAGTCAAAAAATTGCCTCAATGGTCTAAAAAGGTCCATTTAATAGACACTAGATTGTTTATTAATGGGTGTGCAATTGATGGGATAGACAATTGATTACATCGTTTTCGATCTCTTGGAGGCCGTATTACAAACGAGATTGCAATTGCGCTGCGCACAAGCTGCGATGTCGACAGACTCTGTCTCTGACTGAACCTACTGCTCCAAGCAGGTCCTGTAAGTAGACTCTGAGCATTGCGTTTTTTGCTTTGATTTACTTATTGAACTGGTTATAAGATAAAAGAACAATGAAGGAAATTTGAAAAAAAGAGACTCTGACTAAATGACGCCGGACAAAACATAATAATAGTCTAAGTCCAACAGCCATTTTTTTCCATACCGTCGAGTTTGACTCTTTAATCGAGTAAAGAACGTGCAATGGTCAATTTCCAGTTTCTGTAGAACACTGTCCCTTTTTCAAAACTTTTTCTACCATGAGGAGTTTGCTGGATCATGGCGTTCTCTTTTCGCAAAAAAAGTCTTAAAGAAGAAAGTAAAAACAAAATTCTCAGCATAAGTCCTAAATGCCTGACGACATAAAAAACTTAAGCTGTGATTTAAATCTAAGTTTAAGACCGACTTAAGTTCGAAGGCTTAAACCGTCATACTTTGACTTACATGTTTTATAATTCTGTTTGAATCTAAGATGAGGACTTAACTGTGACTTAAGCCTTGGTTTAGGCTTAAGCCTGACTTAGGACTTTTGATAATACGCTCCCCTGGTCTTTACTATAGTTATGCTTTTCTCTGTCCATAGTTATTATTTTTGTTTGATGATTATTGTTATTACTGACGGGACTTTTGATGACTCTAGCTTTTCGCGGTAACGAAAACGAACTAGACCTACTTAGATATTTTATGCGTTGACTATAGCAAGTAGTTAAAGATTAATGTAGTAGAAACCATTACCATCTTAATTGCTATGGTAACGCTATTCATTTCTGAATTTTAGAGAAATTACTGTTTTGAAAAATACGTTTATTTTGCTCCTTTATGCTCATGTTCTTTTGAACACTTCTTGTCATTGAATTGTCTTTTTTTTCTTTTTTTTCAGCACATTTGTGCAGCACTACGTCATCTTAAATGCTATTTGTATTATCAGACTCCGATTCACACGCTGCTATCTGGAGATGTGCTGCTTCTCTGTTTTATAACTTTTAGCTAGTAATCGACAATCTGGAATCTAAGATATTTTTTTGTTTTATTTCAAGATCTTATAGTAATCATATAATTCTTTAGTTATGGATCAAGTTCAGCAATTTACTGAACCCTGTAAACAATTCCTTAAAGATTCCTATCGTCTTGTTAAAAAATGTACAAAGCCAGATAGGAGAGGTGACAAACTGTCCATTTCTATACACAATTAACATAAACTAACTGAGTATTATTTTTAGAATTCCAAAAAATTGCAATGGCAACAGCAATGTGAGTTTTTGTTGCTAATTTCTGTCTTATTTATTTGTGTTTCTTTTCCTGTTATAGTGGATTTGCAATTATGGGATTTATTGGGTTCTTTGTCAAATTAATTCATATTCCGATTAATAACATCATCGTGTAAGTATCATCAACTTGTTTATAGATTTTTCAACTATCTGACATTTCATTTTTGAAATTCGATATGATTACGAAGTTAGATGCAATTTTTTATATATATTAATTAATCACTTTTTCTTCGTATTATTTCTTTATTTATTACCAACGTTTTGATTGATAGTTCAGTCTTCTTCAGTGAATATCAAACATTAATTAAATTGATTAAAATTACATAAACAAAACGAATTGAACAGACAATTTTTATTTTAGTTTTATTATCGACTGTCAAGTCGAATTACAAAAAAGGGGAAAAAAGAACCCCCGTTGTTCTTTAAATAGTTTTAATAGTTTTTGAAAAAGAAAAAAGTTGTCTGTTCAATTCGTTTTGTTTTGTTAATGTAATTTTAATCAATTTAATTAATGTTTGTTATCCACTGAAGAAGACTGAACTATCAATCAAAACGTTTGGAATAAATAAAGAAATAGTACGAAGAAAAAGTAATTAATTAATATTAGTTTTTTCAGAAGAAGTATCGAAATTTTTTACTGCAAACTCTAAAGAGAATCTGTCTGATTTGTTCTACTCAACAACATCGAACTGCTTCTCGAATATATTCATGCAGCAACGAACTCTTTCAATAAATTAGGGAATGAGGCATAAATCTCACCTCTTATACATTTTTTACTGAGCATTGTTGTGTAGCTATAAAACATTAATATTTGCATCCAAGAATGACAACTTTCGAACTGAATTCAGTTTTAAAAGCCACTCTGAATAAAAAAAAACATCCAGTATTTTAGTAGAGTTGTGAAAACCAGAGAGTATATACTAGTCTCTATTGCACGAATTTATGGACAACAGGATCTGAGAAGTTTTTAAAATGCATGGCGTATAATTTTGATGAGCGCCTTCTTCCTGTATCGCTGTTACGCTTTTCAGTACACAGCATTGTCAATCATTTTCAACAATGTACTTCAGTATTCTGTACTAGAGAGAAACTATATTCAAAGAAAATAAGCATAAGGACAATCTAGCTCATCAAAAATCAGTTCGAGCTTCTATGAAATTCACTTATTTTTATTACTATTTTTCTTTTCTTTTTAGAGGTTCATAAACACGAAGTAATTGCAATAAATTATGTGTTTTAACATTTTAACAATTTGTTCAAAAAAAAAGAATGATCCATAAGCATAATTCTAAACAATCAGATTAATTATTCTTTTTGTTGTTATCTTTTATTGTTGTTGTTTTGCTGCTTTGTTTTGTCTGTTATTTCGAAGCGTAGTTTTTTTTCTTACGTTGTTTTCATGTCTATTTCCTAGTATATATCATTAAAAATGTAAACATTGATTGATACGTCTTAAGTTTAGTTATTTAAAGTTATTTTTTATGTTGATCATGGATCTGATGCTACTGTTAGGTCTTCCAAAGATTATCCTGATGAAACTTGTTGCCATCCGTCTAAAAGTTTGAAGTGAAGAGATTCCCATGCATCTGATAGTAGTGCAGATCGAGTTGCATATGTAGAAAAGCTCTGAGATTTGCTTCAGTGTCATGTGACTTCTGTCGTTTCTCTATCAGCTGTTCGCATTCGCTCTCTAGAAGAATTTAATCATCAGACGATATTCCTAAGATAAAAATAAACAGATTTAATGTGGTAATACTAAATAGTCCAGATTAGAAAGTACATTACTGCGTTTTATATCAGTTATGAATTTTATTTTATATGGATAGCAGAAACCAAATCGGATCTTATGGGATGACCCGAACCCGACTCGATGTCGTACGGAACTTGACCCGAAAAGTTTTCTTAGGTGACATAATTTTTTCTGGAAAAACAGCAGAAGCCTATAGATTTTGCAATATCGAACAGCAGGAAGGATAAAACACTGACCGTCTTTTTCCAGTAAAAAAGACACATGTTGAAAAGTAGATGAGTGAACCGTAACCGAAGAAAATTCCCTGATTTGCTTTCTAGTGGCAAGACCCGAGTAAAATCTGACATTTTTTTTTCCTTTGACGCGACCCGAACCAATATTATTTACATTGACCCGAACCCGATCCGTTTCGGTCTCTGATGAATAGTGTAATAAACCTGGTTTTTTCTTTTTGTGTGTATATACTGGACATCGGGATATGTGTAGAACAGCCATGTACGTTGTAAAACAAAGAGAAAATATTATGTAATAAATTGTAAAGTATACATTGTACTGTATGAATGTTTAAAAAATACTAGTGTGGAATAACTACCAGGTACGAAAAAATCAGTCTATCACGATAGTAGAAAATGCCAGAAGATTTTTTATTTGAGTGTCTTAATTAGACAATGAAAAACTTGATTAATACGTCTGCAACATTTAGATTTTCTTCAGCTCTTCAAATCTTGTTCTATTGAGTGATGCTTAGCATCGTAATATTTTATTATTAAATTAAATGAATAATAATAACAAGAAAAACGAAAACAACAATACACTTATTCTAAATCTATTCTTAATTAAATGTACATATCTAAATAGCTGACTATTAATTATTCTTTTTTATTACTGTCTGAATCACCACATAATGTCATGAGACGAGTTCGAAATGGAATAAATTTTCCAAATAAATAAGCACCAGTATCATTTGTTTGTGAACTTGTTGATGTTTGCTGTTGTTGTGGAGATGTGGAGTTGGATTCAGATTGAGTGTGTCGCCGTTGACTATCACTACGAAGTTTTTGATCAACACAACGAATTATATTAAAACAGTACGGAACAGATGCCATTTTAATCTTTTGAGTTGAGAGTGTACAAGTGAATAAATGAAAAATAAAGTGTGTGATTTATATATAGCTTTCAAAATAGTTGAACTATTGTATTTTCTGTTTTAATGCATACAATGAATGCGTGATTAGAAAATGTTTATGTACGATGGGCTTGTGTGATTTTTATCTTGTTTCTTACAGAACAGAAGCAAAACATATGAAAATTAAACTACAGTGGACGTCTGTATAATTTTGCGGTATAGCTATTTTTTTTTTTCGCTTTTCCTACAAATAATTTGTACCTCATAAATGATGGACGTTCTTTGCCACAGCGAAGAAGAGTAATATTAGATTTTTTCCTGCTTTTGCCTGCGCTCACTTGTTTTATCCACCTTTTACGGAAAATATTAGGCTGAAATGCGAGACTCATGTAGTCTTCAGTCAGAAGCTATCACGTCGGAAAAAAAGAAAGTTTCTCGACTTTTCTGTAAAAATTTAGACAAAATTAAAACTTTAAGGTAAAGTTGAATATCCTCAATGGAACATTTATATTTGGTTAACATTGTAAATCTGGATAGATGAACATGCTATGATAGAATGCGCGATACCTTCATTATGTTCAGTCGGTACTAGAGGAACAGAAATAACGATGATTCTCGTTGCGAGGTAAATAGTGACACGGGCCTACCTGATGTGTGCTTCACAAGAAATTTAGGCTTAAGTGAAGTTGTCTAACCTAGGTCTCAAAATTTACGATAAACTTAAGGTTCATCTTAATTTATCTGAACGCTTTCTTAAGTTTTTCATCATAATTTATTTATCTTAATAACTTGAATTGACATTTCAACTGTATGAAGAATTGAAACGTTAAACGCATCATATCTGCATCATATCTTAAACACACTGAATCTCTAAATTGAACGCTTATATCTTTTCTGTATGTCAATTCAATCAACATAAAAAAGAAAAAGAAACCGATGGTTGTAGACCTTTAGCGTCTAGCTCATCTCGACCCTTCATGATCTGATGTATCGTAGCCGAGCTTGTTTATGTCGTTGATTGTAACATTAGAATAATAAGTCACAAAAAAATACAACTGTAGTCACTCAACAACCATCCAGCGTCTAAGAGAGCACCAACTGTACGTTTTTGTGGGAGCTTAGTTAATTTTTTTGTTTACTGACTAGCAAACTTCTCCCACTTAGTTTCAATTTAAGAACACAACACTGAATTATCAGAATTTGTAGACAAAAAAATTGTCTTTTTATTCCTTAGGAAAAATCAATTAACTTTTGTTTTTGTTCTGACTTTTTCTGTTTCTCTTTAGGTTTACTAACGTAAACGAAAGGGATTATGCTTCATGTTGTATTGAGATACAAAGCAGAAATTAACATTGTCGATTGTCAGGGGTGGGACTATAAAAGCGTTCATTCTGCAAAAAAAATGAACAACAATTTTCGCGTTTTCAACTTACTAAGAACATCATTAGCAAGATTTTCAGTGACTGTTTTTAGATTTAACAAAGTATGTTGTTCAGGCGTCAACAGGAAGACAAGAGCATCCGATTTATGCGACATTAAGAAAAAACATAAAATTCCCAAAGGAACGGAACAAAGTACCTTAAAATAAAGATTTCCACTTTCTATTTTTGTGCAGACTTTTAGGATAAAGCTCCAGAATCATTTTATTCGATAAACTCATACAATTTATTGGGCAAAAGACGTGCTTATTAAAATCAAAGATTTGTTAAATAAACAAGAAACTATTAATAATTTAGTTCTTTTTGTTGACTTTTGTCAAAAAGATCGATCATTGAACAGTTTCCCACTACTATATAGTTTATTAGAAAAGCTTAGTGTTAACCCACAATCAGGGACGGTGGAACGGCTTGAAAGCTGTGAGGCAGATTTTTTTCTTCTGTAAAGTCAACGAAAACTATCAGAGTATTTCTACATCATCTCACAATCTAGTGCTATTGTGTTTATTCCCTTCTTTCTTTATGTATATAAACACAACATACTAGCAATATCTTTTTTTTTATTACGAATTTTTTTACTACTTTGTCAATTATTTCATTGTCGAGTATTATTTTTTCTAGTTTGACAGTCAACGTTTTGCTGTTTGTTTTTATAAAATACGACAAACAATGCAGAGAACAGACCACGAGAAAATTTTTTTCTTTAAAAATGAAAATGATGTCAAACCGCGAACCTGTGGGGGCAGTGTGCCTCCACTGCCCACACGACTAGCAGAGGCACATAATGATTGTATAATATTGGCTTTGTGTCGTCATACCTCAACTGTTTTATATAAATAATAGAAAATATTCTTTCAAGAGGTGAAACAATGCCCTCAGTCAATGATTTTCGTGTAAATGAATAAAAAAAACAATTTTATGAACGATTCGATGAGTCATTGGGTCTAATAATATTTCAATAAAGGAGTCAAGCGATAATAAAATGCGCTTCGTGAACAGAGAACTATCACAGAATAAAACTTCAAGTGGTTACCGATGTACTAACTTAATGGTTAAAAGTTTGATGCTGAAAATATACTAAGAAAAATATTTCGGTTTTTACTATACGTGGATTTACTTTAGATAAATACATTAGCTGTTTTACATTTCTGTTTTTTCAACTATAATTTTAACGTCAGTCATTATGCCAGGCATTACTGATGATCAATTGAATGATATTCGTGATGTTTTTTCTCTGTATGATGACCGTGGTGATGATCAAATACCAAAACATTATCTTGGTAGAATAAAAATTTTGTGTTAAATTTAAAATTAATAATGTTTTTATTTAGGTGAAGCAATTCGTGCATTAGGTTTAAATCCAACTCAAGCTGATATAAGAAAATTACAAGATTTAGATCGAATGGAAAGAATATCGTTACAACAATTTCAAGTTATTTATGAACGTTTGAATCGACAAAAAGAAATGGTTGCACCAGCAGAAGAATTTATTGACGGTTTACGTGTATTCGATAAAGATGGAAATGGTATGTTGTGAAAAAGACAGTTCAAATTCATATTTGTTTTGTTATTGTTATCATTTCAGGTACTATTCCAGCAACAGAATTAAGACATTTACTTACTACATTAGGTATAAAATGGTGGTTGTCGCAAAATATGATGCATGCAAGATTCTATCTTCTGATTTATTTTTTTTCTTCAGGCGAACGATTAACCGATGATGAAGTTGAACAACTTATAAATGAATTTGAAGATAAACAAGGAAATGTTAACTACGAAGGTTGATATTCACAGATTCTCTCGTCTAGTGAAGAATTTCTATTTATTTCTGTTTAGATTTTATTCGTGCTGTTTTACAACGTTAATTTTCAAATACAAACTAAAACAAAGAATGAAAACGAATGATTATTAGCTATGTTTTACCATTTAGTTATTTTTTCTTTTACTTTTTATTGTTAATATTCGATATATGCATGTACAGATAATCTTCTTCTTTCGTAATATCTTGTTTGTTTTTTATTTGTTTTTGTTTTTATTGTGAACGATAAAGGTTTGTACGAGTATAATAAGAGAAATTTTATTGTTTCTTAACGAACAGTAAAATTTTTTCTTAAGATGATTCTCGTTCAAGCATTTTGATCATACATCTAGCTTCATTTTTTAAGTATACTGAATGACAATTTTCATTTTGTTTTCAAATCAAACATTGGACACATTTTACTTACTAGTACTATCTTTGATTTCTTAACCGAATAATAAAAAGATTTTTATTAAAATAAATGTTATTCATGGGTTTTTTTACGACATTGAAAATTAGAGCAACAAGTGTTTTTCACTGTTGTTCAAAACTAAGATATAACTGACTGACGGATGAGTGACAACGCAAGAAAACTCGATTTTTTAAAATGAAAACATATCAGAATTGTAAATAGTTTTTCAATATATTATCAAGTTCTTCGAAGTTTCATTCAACTATTTGTAGATCTAAATATCTTAGTTCAGAAAAATCAAATTATTGAATTGTTTATTGAATTCGGTATCCTTCTCTAAAATAGAAAATCGTTTTAAAATAATGCGTGAGAAATTAGAAGGAGAACAACGTGATTTAGTTATTCAAAAATTAAAATCAAATGGTTGGCAATTGGTCGCTAATCGTGATGCAATAAAGAAAAATTTTGAATTTGAAAATTTTAATCAAGCATTTGCATTTATGACACGTGTCGCATTATTGGCCGAAAAACTGGATCATCATCCAGAATGGGAAAATGTTTATAATAAAGTCAACGTAACATTAAGTACACATGATCTCAAAGGTTTATCAACATACGATGTTCAAATGGCATCATTTATGGATGAAGTACATTCTTTACATAAAAAATAGTAATAAGAAATATTTTTGATGGTGATGGTGGTGGTGGTGGTAGATTTTTATACATTCGATAATTTCCATGCTAGTCATTTTAATTTTTTTATACTTCTATTTTTTTGTGTTTGGTTGTTGTTTATTTGTTATTGCATGTTTTTTCATGGATAATTTTTTCGCAAATAAATAGATGATGCTGGAATATAGAGTAATACTACTGGCATACTATAAGAAAACAATTTTTTTAAACAGAAGTGGCGATTCGTTTGATCTTTCTCACTTTAATATAAACTCAAAGACCAATAAAAATACGTAAATTACTATCTCTGTTAGAATACATATTGCCACTGGAAGAGAACGTAATTGTGTCGCGTTTACTATTAATACTATATTTGTTATGATGTTAAGTTTTTGTTTGATTCTGATTGACACAAAGGCCGCGCTGTATATCAAATATTAAAATGAATAACAAAAATAATAATATTACACATATACATATACAATTATTATTTTCGTATATGGATTGAGAAGAGACGTGTCTTTTCTAAGCTAAACGTCTCTAACAGAAGCAATGTGTGAAAATCTCATTTTATAATCAAAAGATGTAGAACTTAATTATGTACAAAATCGTATATTTAATTAGTTCAGTTTTCTGGACATAACATTTGGAGTATTAGAGTGGATCAATTTTCAAAACTTTCCTGTGCAGACCCTAATTCTTCGCAAAGCGTTCCTGATAGTTCAATTTAACTCTTTTATGATGAAAAAGATGCACATTTTTGAGTTCTACAACACTCAATGTTTGTAAATTTGCTCTTTTCCTTCGGGAGAAACAAGGCTTAAATCTAAGGATCATGCTAATTAAGTAAAATTTGCAATAACACTAATATTTTTTTCAAATTCCGGTATTAAAATCATACGTTTGAGCTAGAAAGATGCAGAATTTCTCACTCTATTGGACTATCTTACTTTCTACATCAAATGATAGTGTTTCATTAAGGGACATGACCGAGAAAATAGAGTCCGACAGAGAGATCGCAAACAGATTACCAGACATTTGGACGTGCGACACTTGGGCGCCGATATTTGAGCGCGCGACATTTCGACACACGACATTTGGTCTCAATGACATTTGGACACAACGACATCTGGGAGCGCGACATTTGGGTGCATATGTTAAAGTATGATGCATAACCATAACATTTTCTTTAAACAAACTTGGTACGATGTGAGAGCTTTTTCTATATTACTCACATCCAACTGTAATCACTGTTTGTTTAATCTTCATCGATACTCACGCTCATCCTCACCCACACCGGCGCCTTTGAACTTCAACTATCGTTGCGCTCAAATGTCGTTGCGCCCAAATGTCGGTATACCCGCAAAACCATGTAATTCTCAAAGAATCGATCTCTTTTAATTAGTTTTTTATGCTCTTTCTTTAGTTTGGCAGTTTTAGATCTATGATGAAGAGATGTAGAATTTTCTAGAGATTTTGTTGGTGCCTTTTGTTTTAATTCATAATGCTTTTCTTTCGCGACATAGTGGTTGAGGAGATTTATAAACGGAAAATCTTGAAATTGGTCCATTCTGATACTCCAAATGTTATGCCGAGGAAACTCAACTAATCAAATACACGGTTTTGTACATAATTAAATTCTACATCTTTTGATTATAAAATGAAATTTTCACACATTGCTTCTCTTAGAGAAGTTTAGCTTTGAAAAATGAATCAGTTATTTCTGGGCCACCTGAAACATATTCGACAATGAGAGGATGCATAAACAAACAAAATCATTATTTAATAGAAAAGTAAAGATAAATGAAAAGATAGAGATCAGCAATTGACTTGGCTTTAGTTTGTGAGACAAATATTATATTCTAAATGTTCTAAAATCCATTTTAAAGCAATTTTACAACTTACTGTCAATAACAGCTGACTTAATTCTCATAGCGCTCCTTTCGGTAACAAAAAAGGTACATTTTCTCATAAGTCGAAGTTTGCCTCAAACTTCTTCGTCTATAATATTTCTTTCTATCTGTACTAGACTTATCGACTATAGAGTGAAAATCACTAAAAGTAAACACACTTTAAGAGCGTATTCAACTCATTCTCAAGGTTCTACATTCCATAGTTTAATTAACCATATTATTACATGTATAGCAAGCCAAAGTTCATTGCTGTTAATCTGTACTTAGCGTGAAAAATCTAGTAAACCTATAGTAATTAACAAATAGATCTGACAGAAAAAAAAATAATGAATTGTACTAAATTATTATTTGTACTTGTACTTTATTCATTCATTGTTGTCGTTAATAATGCTGAATATCATGAGTATTGTATCATCGGTAGCGGTCCAGCAGGGCTACAAATAGCACATTTTTTGCAATCGACAAAACGAGATTATATTGTTTTCGAAAAACACGATAAACCAGGTATTGTTAACTGGTATATTACATAGTCCTAATTATCATCAAATTTTTTTGTCTATTTGAAGGTTTCTTCTTCTTCAATTTTCCACGTCATCGCAAACTTATCAGTATTAATAAGCGACATACGGGTGAAAAAAATCGAAAATTTAATTTACGACATGATTGGAATTCACTGTTATCAAATAATAAAAATTTAAGATTTACACGTTATTCTAACGAAATGTTTCCATCAGCTGATTTGATGGTTCAATATTTGAACGATTTTTATCAACAAAATAATATACATGTAAAATTTAATACAAAGATATCAAATTTACGGACAGTTTCTACATCTGAGGATGTCGATACGTGTCTAAGAATGAATAAAAATTCGACACACTGTTCTTCAACTGAAAATAAATCGTTTTCAAAGTATTATATGAAACATAGAAATAAAATAAGGTTTCGTATGGTAGATCAGAAGGGAAATCCATACAGTTGCAGGTGGATATATGAACGAATATTTCATTTACAGTTTTCAGTAGAAAGATTGTTATCAATATGGTTTGTGCTGCTTTTTTTAGTATAATGCTCATTGCAACGGGTCTAAGCATACCAAACATACCAGAAATGCATGGAATCGAACTGGCTGAAGGTTACGAGACTGTATCCATAAATCCAGATGATTTTGAAGGACAAACAGTACTGTTGTTAGGTAAGCCGGATTATTTCCGTCAACAGATCTTCACGTTAGTGATGTGCACGCCTACGACTTTCGTCCCCACGTAGGGGTACATGTCGGATTTCACATAACTAATACTATATATATTACATATCCATTTTCTTTTCTCTCTCAGGACGTGGAAATTCTGCTTTTGAAGTAGCACAATCAATCTATCAGGCCACAAACTTTATTCACATGATTTCAAGATCGCGTGTAAGAAGTTCATTTGCTACACACTATGTTGGCGATTTGAGGTAATTTAATTATTAGGACAAATTTTTGAAAAATAATAAAAATAATATTGTGTTGTTCTTAAGAGCTATTAATAATCAGATACTCGACTCGTATCAGCTCAAATCATTGGATGCTTTACTTGAAACTGATTTACGTGAACATGCTTTGAGAAGAAGAGTCGATGGTAAAATTCAGTTAATAGAAAAACCAAGAAATAATTCGAATATCTTGTACAATAATCGACAAACAAGTCTTGGGTATGATCGTGTCATACGATGTCTTGGATTTAAATTTGATAAATCTTTTCTGAACAAGTACGAACAAATTGAGGAACAACAGTAATTTATTATGTATATTCTTTAAACTTATTTATAGAAGTATAAATTTAACTGATGGAAAAGGTCGAGAAGTAAAGTATCCAAAAATAGATGGCGATTATCAGTCTGTCGATGTGAAACATTTATATTTTGTTGGTACATTAGCTCATTCACTAGATTTTAGAAAATCATCCGGTGGTTTCATACATGGTTTTCGATATACTGGTATGTCCACTTTTTGTTTAATATTATGCGTAAGGGGAATGTTATACGCTACTAGCGATATCATATCCTCTAGAAATTTTTTTTGTGTGTGTATAGCTCGAGCACTCTATCGAATTTTGGAAAATCGTTATCATCAAAAAAGATGGCCATCAAAAATGTTAACCATTGGATCATTATTAAATTATATTATTAAGCGTATGAACGAAGCTGATGGAATATATCAAATGTTTAGCGAATTAGGTGATGTTATCATAATTCATAGGTATACAACTGGGCACATGTTATGCAGGATTGTCCGAGAAAGTCAGACACTCCTCCAATCCAAACGAATTATATTAACACAGTTATATTTGTTTAAGGAAACATAATAAATTTCAATACATTGAAGAATTTCCACTGAAATTATTGCACAAATTTGATCTCATTACAGGTTTGAATGCATTCGAACTGATTGTACTTAACATGCAGTATGGTGCAAACTATTCTGGTCCTGGTTAGTAATTCTAATAACTACTGAAATTTGATTTAATGTAACTATTTGTTCATAGGTCGAGATGTATTTGCATTCGATCGTGCAACAGCCTCTGTGAATAGCGCTGATCGATCAAATTTTTTACATCCTGTATTCTATTATTACAAATCATTTTTATCAAGTATGTTCAAGAGATTTCAGTATAGTTTAGAGATTTCTGTTTTATTTAAGAATTCAATAATTCTAAAACAATTGGGATATTACCAGAACCAGACAAAATTCATCATGTTTTAGAAGATCTATTAACATTATGGATAGTAGAAGATACACACATTTTACCACTACAAGCATTTCTCGAGGACATTCTCAATATTGATTTACAGCAACATAGCGATTTAACGTGTGTACAATCATTACTTTCAAAAACATATGATACATTAACAACAAACTGTTTACATAATATGAAGGAAAAGACAATTTATAAACACAGAAATTTTCTTAATTTGGCATCAAGAGAATAATTTATTTTTCACACTAATTAGACACTACAAGCAATCAGTCAACTGCAAACTGAACTGCACACTAGAAAATATGCTGCATTATAAGAAATACGTCGTAATCTTTGATTTTGATTTTCATACCATATCTGTCTCCTGAGGGTCGTATCATAAAAAAATTTAAGTCAAAGGGTGACTTAAGTCATGGGAAATGTAGTCTTAAGTTAACGAGGGAACATCTCCAAGTGTGAGTCTCAGTTTTAAGTGTGATATGTACCAATTTGTAGAGCTCGACGAGCTGATTCTTCTGGTATGTTCCGTTTTTCCCCATAGACCTTAAATGAGAAAATTGGTAAGTTTTATTTGTACAGCCTAAAAAACCCAAATTTCAGCTTTTTATGTATAAAATCGTCAGTTTTCGTTCGATTTTTTCGAACGACATTTCATTCGAAAGAGCGTACAAAACTAAACAGAATTTGATACTTAAAAATATTTTAACATTAAAATAGTA